ACTAATAGGATACATACATAATCCATTTTCAATTCAGACAAATGAAAGTGGCTTATTTGTGAATTGTATTAATATTTTCAGCAGGTGTAGTATATACTTTACAAATTTAACTTCAGAATCATTATACAAAAACATAGTATATCCCAAGCAGGGACGGACTGACAACTCATGGGGCCCCCAGGCAATAGGGGATCATGGGGCCCCTGTGTCCTTGCCCAAACTCAAAAAAGCCTATGAAAAAGGTACCAGGGGCATCTGATGGGGCCCCCTACTGACCCCGGGCCCTCGGGCAGTGCTCGAGTTTCCAAATAGTCAGTCTGCCCCTGATCCCAAGTACTTCAATAAACTCCTAGCTAGGGATGGGCTCAGATGTGTTTGGAGCCTAGTCTGAACCCACCAGAGAGATCCTGCAAGGAAGCTGTCACTGTAGTGGGACAATCATTAGCGGCAGGGACATTCCCCATCCCACAGCGTGTGCAGGTATATGTACGCCTGCAGGACAGGGAATGCCTTGGTTGCTTCTGGTTGGCCCAGTATAGGTAACAGTTTTCTGCAGGTTCGCTCAGCTGGGTTTGGACTAGGATCCGAACATGCCTGAGCTCATCCCTACTCCTGGCTGATAAAGGTCTACACATGGTCTGAAACATTGTTGTGCAAAATGGGAGCTTCATTGTTTTGCACTGCCATGCTTTTGCAATAAAGTGAAAGATTTTAAGGGCCGGTTCACATCATAGAAACGCAGTCCAAATGCTTTCTGGATGCGTTTCCGCATGCGCCTTTTTGGCACTTTTTTTATGCGTGCCATTGCATTTTTAATGCATTCCACTTAATTTTTCAATTAAAAAGAGGGAAAAAATTAACCAAAACACACTGGAATGCACATGTCTCTATTTAAATTAAAGAATTTAAATAGGGACATATGCATTCCAGTGCTTTTTTGGTGCATTCCAGTGCATTTTTGATGCGTTTTACCTCTTTCCAGTTCAGTTCTGTGCTGAAAAAATGCAGCATGTTCTACTTTTTTTTTTTGCAAATAGAACGCACTGGAACTGCAAGCACTGATGCGAACTATGACTTGACAACCATATAACTTACTTTGTGTGTGTTTTGGATGCAGAAAAAAACAACTGAAACGCATGTAGTGTAAACTGGCCCTAATACAGACAAAGACCTGTGTGCAGATGCACTATGGTTTTGCTGCGTTACTGATGAAGGTCTCACCCCAAAATCATTATGGGCACATCAGTGGTAACTAGCATACAGGACCTTATAACTGTTCAATTTATGATTTACCACTGAAACAATTGAGTACTGTCCGTGATACTTTTTTTTATTTGCACTAACATACAATTTTGAGGACAAAGATTGTCCTCAAAATTGTATGTTAGTGCAAATAAAAAAAAGTATCACGGACAGTACTCAATTGTTTCTGTCGCAAATGCACTAATACGGCTGCAATCACCTCAAGCAAAATGATTTACCACTGAAATGTTCTTTTCTGGTTTATCTCTTCTGATAGGAATAATCAATCTATAGTCGACAACTATTTCAATTCATATTGAAGTGATGCCAATTGATGCAAAATTACCAATAATATTCTGTCCTGTCCAATTGACTCAGTTTTGGTTGAATCAGAAGGCAAGTTATGGTTCTTTAATGGTTTGCAGATTCAGCCTTGGTTCACACCGAATGCGGCTGTGATTTCAAAGCCATCGATCAGCGAGACTTCATGTGTGGCTTGCCGACATCTGTGTGACTTCATGCACAGATGTCGATGAAAGTCGCACATGAAATTGTAAAAAAATGTGCAAGAACCTATTTCAAAGTCAGTGCAACTCAGAGTTAGAAATAAAGTGCGACTTTGATCTGTCAAGTTTCATTGCAATTCTCTCCAATGTGAACCGGGGCTTAGTCATTTTGATTGATTTTTTAAAATCTAATCAATGTAAGCTTCAAAGTGTGTGGCCATCATTAGACTCATCTTTCGAGAATGATGTTGGCAGTCTCTAGGCTATTCTGATTCCTCTTATGGTGGTAACTTTTTCTTTTTATGCCTTCAATGCGCTTTGCTGAGAGGCTGGGCTGAGCGGTGCTCCAGACTCTGGGGCGGATAACGACTGTGAAGTCGGCATCTTTCCCCAGCTTGGACCAGCTGAGTAACATCAGCCGATAGTGACTTCAGTCCTCCATCAGCTGAAAACGGGTCACAGGAGTACAGAATGAACTGCACTCCTGTGATCCACATGAGAAGTACAACCCAAAGAGCTTTGGCTGTACTTCTCCTTTAAGGCCTTTGTTTCACAGACTGCACCATAACTAACCCATTCTCCTCCCAATATGTCACCCTCTGAAGTATGGACAAAGGCCCCTTTCACATGGGCGTTCTGTTTTTTTCATCAGCTCAGCTCAGTCACATTTTTTCAAAGGAAAAAAAGAGGTCATTTTTCATCAGTTTACAACAGTTTTTGACATCCACTACCAATGCAAAAATGGTTGCAAAAACAGACTGTTTGTCTGCCTACATCTGTTTTTCATCCGTTCTGTTTTCTTAATGAGACACAGAAATAGTCTGTTTACATCCATTTTTCCATAGAAATGCATCAAAGTCCATTTTTCATCCATCAATGGATCAATAAAAATGAACAAACAGAACGCACATGTGAAAGGAGCCAAACACTGCTGATTTTGTTTCCTATAAAAGAATGATGCATTAAATCTTAAGAATTAAAAAGTTGCACAAAATTTGAGTTGCTGCCCATGGCGAATATCGAAGTTCTTAATTTCCCTACAGAAAGAACAGTAAGGTTTCATTGGTTGCAATAGGCTACAGCTACAGTGGCTTGCTGTAACATTGGGTGCCTAAAGAGTCTTCAGCATTATGTAAGCTCCAAGTCACAACATTTTGTTTTCCACAGTAGTTTGTAGTGATGAGTGAATCCGTTTGAAAACCAGGTCAAATTTATGGATGATCCTGAATATATGCTGAAAATTCATCCAATTTGCAAAACATCATACAGTTCATAAATCATTGTTTACAAGACTGTGTGAATCATCACAGATCAGGCAGATCTATGTGGAAATGTGATTATTATGATTCAATACTCCTAAAAGTTTGTTATTATTTATCGTTATCGACTATTGTGGTCCAAAATTCTGAAAAAAAAATCACCATTCCCCCAAAATATCCACTGCTTCTTGCTACTGAACACTTCAGCCAGATCCAGGGGGCACTGTTATTAGCCAAGCACAATTTATGAGAGAAGGGGACAAACTGAGCAAAAAAAAATCAGTCCCTAGAGCAGACATACTAAATGGCGGACTGCGGTCTGGATCCGGACCGGGTTATAGTCCCATCCAGACCGGCCATTTGAGACCCAGCTCTTACGCTCAGCTGCCGTCACTGCTGTCATCTTCATCCAGCTGACATTGGAGACAGGACAGCTCCAGATGGACGGTGGGAGGCACATCAGTCTAGAGCGGACATTGGAGGTTCCGGATGGAGGGTGGGAACTGTCATGTTAACATTTCAAGTTAAACAGCAGATGATTGGTTGCAAGCAACCAATCATCTGCTTGTTACAAGGAAAAGTTGTGCTGCTCTCACTGTCCATCTGGAGCTGTCCTGCCTGTCAACTGTATACTGATGTGCCTCCCACCTTCTGCCCTTTGTAGGTATGAGATGAAAGGGAACTACAGTATGTCACTGCTGTGAGGTATTTGGGGGAATGATGTGAAAGGGGGCAGAGGACAGAAATCCGGTGGAGGAGGTGGGTGATATAAAGGGGAGGAGCTGAGGACAACAATGTGGAGGGGGGGGGGGGGGTGAGTACAGGAATGTGAAGGAGAGGAGGGGGGTGACAGGTATGTGAAGGGGGATGAAGACAGGAATTTAAAGGAGGAGGCTGAAATAAAGGGGGGCAGAGGACAGAAATCTGAAAGAGGAGGTGAAGGGGGGGGTGTGACAACAGGGATGTGATGGGGGTTATATGAAGCAGGGCTGAGAACAGTAATGTGAAGGAGGAGGGGGCTGATATAAAGGAGGCAGAGGACAGGAGTGTGAGGGTGAGGTGATATTAATGGGGAGGAGTGATGTGAAGGGGGGGTTGAAAATCCTGCTATGAAGAGGGGGACTGTGATGCAAAGGGGTGATCTTGATGTAAAGGGCATGAAACTGTGATGTGGGGGGCGGGATTGTGATGTGTCTGTGTGGGGGGGGGGCTGAGAACACATTTGTAATAGTGGGATTGTGACTTGAAGGATCTGAGGCTAGTTGTACATCCATGCTGCCTATGTTCTGCTGCATGTAGACATCCCTAACCCTTTCTTTAAATTGCGCTGCACGTGCGGCCTTAGCCGAAGTTCCAAGGTGCCGTTAAGAATCAAACATGCAATTAGGACCTCAGCTGGAAGAAAATGTTAGTGACTGGACCTTCGTGAATTTTAATTCAATACCCCTGCCCTAGAGACTTTTCTCCGTTGTTTAGTTTCTAACAGACAATTGGCCCTGCCTGCCTTGGGGTAAGATTGTCTATTATAATTGTCCCTATTCTTCCACAGGAGTGTCTCCTTTAACAGTTTTTATTGCACTTGTCCAAAATCCTATTGTTGTCAAAGTATTTCCTTGTATATTAACCACTAGCCTACAGGGCACTTATACCCCTTCCTGCCCAGGCCAATTTCCAGCTTTCAGCGCTGTTGCACTTTGAATGACAATTGCGCGGTCATGCAACACTGTACCCATATGAAATTTTTATCATTTGTTTTTGACAGAGCTCTATTTTGGTGGTATTTAATCACCTCTGGGATGTTTTATTTTTTTCTTAAACAAACCAAAAACCACTGAAAATTTTGAAAAAAAAAAAAACGTTTTTTTCTTAGTTTTTGTTATAAAATTTAGTAAATAAGTGATTTTTCTCCTTCACTGATGTGCGCTAATGAGGCTGTACTGATGGGCATTGATAGGCTGCACTGATGGACACTGATAGGTAGCACTGATGGGCACTGATGAGGAGGCACTGGTAGGTGGCACTGATAGGCATTGACAGGCATCACTGATGGGCACTGAAAGGCAGCACTCATATATGGCACTGATAGTTGGCACTGATAGGTGGCACTGACTGGCACTGATAGGCAGCACTGATGCACACTGATAGGTGGCACTGATAGGTGGCATTGGCTGGCACTGATGGGTGACACTGAAAGGCAGATCAGGTGGTCACTGATATGTGGCATTGATGTGGCACTGATGGGCACTGAAATGTGGCACTGATGGGCACTGGCAGGTGGCATGGATGAGCACTGATGGACACTGGCAGGTGGCACTGCTGGGGCTATACAGATCATCAGGGCACACTGATCATCAGTGCTCTGATGATCTGTGTACATGTCCCCTCCGAGGAATGCCTAATATTGGCTCTCCTCTCCTCACGAGCTGTCAGCGTGACAGCTCGTGAGGAGAGAAACGCCGATAACCGGCATTTCCCTGTTTACACGTGATCAGCTGTGATTGGACACAGCTGATCACATGACCGCGACATCTTTGGCTCTTTCCGTGGATTGGTGATATGCTGTGTCCAATCACCGCGCTGCGCTCTCCGGGAGCTGCGCATGTGCAGTTAGAATGGGAGGACATCGTATGATGTCCTCCCAGAACGAGAGAACCACCCATCATCATATTACTATATGACGGGCAGGAGGCGGTTAAAGATGCCAAACCCATGCTAGCCTGTCTTACAGTTCAGCCTCCCAGAAACACTCCCAGAAAAACACCCAAAGATCACCATTTTCATGCCCGTCAGGTTAAGGTTGGAGATCAGGTCTGGCTCTATACAAAAAATGAAACCTTCAGGATTCTTTGCCTCCTGCCCTGATCTCTGGCAGTTTCTGGATAATGCTGTGCCTGCTGCCTGCCCTGGCCTCGGATTATCTTTGGATAATGCTACTTGTTTACCACCTGCCCTTACCACTGCTGGCCTTTGGACTTTCACACAGACTGTCCTTCTGAGCTACTGAAGATCAGGTATCCTTTCCTGTTACTTATGCTTGATCCCTACACTTGCCAGCAGGCCAGAAAGCATTGTGTACCAAGACCTGGGGCAACCAAGTAGTGGCAGGCCTGCTTGCCTTAAAGTGGAACTAAATGATTTTTTTTTTTTTTTTTGCCAACAGGCAGAATCTCTATTGCAGAAGAGACATGTAATGTCTCTTCCACCTGCCTGTTCACGATCCTCTGCATAATGAGAACGGAGCTGCACATGTGCAGCTCTGTTTACATTTCCATCACAGTGCCAGTGTGAAAGGATGAATGACTCCCATGCATGCATGGGAGTGACATCATCCCTCACTGGCCAATCAAGACAGCTGAAGACTTGCACCCGGAAGAAGCCAAGTAGAAGATGCTGACACCAGCGAGGGACCTCATGGGTGAAAGGCCATAGGAGCAGAGGTAAGCATTGAGTTCCAGTTTAAGAACGGTGGCTGATAAAGGTGAAGGAAAACTCACCAGATATAGTTTTTGACATTGGCATCAGGCCAATCATACTCATGATCATTTGTTTAATGACATTGGGTATACCACTGGTAAACAGACTGGCAATGCAGCTGCATCATTCAAGACAGACTGCCAGATGAAACAGTCAGAGACAAATTAGAAGCATCTCATTCATACATGAAAAGTAATTTTAGATGACTAGGATAAGGACAATAGCTTGTTTAGATGTGACTCATTCAGATGCCATATCTTCTAACCTTGAAGTAGTAAGTGGCCTGTGTTCTCACACCAAATGTGTGACATCAGTAGCTGATAGTAGAATCATGAAGGGCATTAAAATGTATCTGGAAAATCAAACTATAACTAAACCAGTTAACCAGTTCCTTGCTTTAATGCTGTGCCTTCAGCTTTCAAATTTTGATATAATTAAAGTCAGATTTTTCATATCAGATAGAGAGTGCTAATTTTGCCTGAGAAGAGAATTCAGTGCTACAAGGGCCAAAAATGTTGGTGATCCAGGTCAATGAACAAAATGGATACTTGTTTTTGAAAACATTTGAAATAATGATAGGGAAATGGCCAAATTAAAAATTTATGTGTGAACTGTCCCATCTGCTTAAAAAAGGTAATTTTGTTTAGTCAGTTTTCTAATCCAGACACTCTAGTACGCCTCCATAGCTAGGTTTTTGGTCAGAGCTGTGATCAACTAGTGAAGAAAGCAGCAACTCGCAAGTGAGGTCATGCCTGTGCTGTACACTCTCATCCGCAAACTCCATGTATAAAATTTAGAGCACTGTGCAATGCCATACTAAAGTGGTTGGAAAGGCTCAAGGTTTATCACCTTCCTGCATTCAAATGTGTGTGTGTGCAGCAGCCCCCCAGCCCACCTAATACTTACCTGAGCCCCAACCATGTACAAAAGAGTCTCAGGACTCTCCCTTCTCATTGGCTGAGACAGCAGCGTGAGCCATTGGCTTCTGCTGCTGTTAATCACAGTCAGTGAGCCAATAAGGAGAGAGAGGGGGCAGGGCTGAGCTACAGCTCTGTAAGTAAATGGACACGCAGACCAGCAGCTCAGGAGTGAGCCTGCTTGGGTGCCCCCATGGCAAGCTGCTTGCTCTGGGGGCACTCGGTAGAAGAGAAGGGCAAGGAGCTAAAGTGGGGGACCCGAGAACAGGAGGATCAGTGCTGCTCTGTGCAAAACCACTGCACAGAGCAGGTAAGTATGACATGTTTGTTTGTCTTTAATTTGCTTTTTAATATCACTTAAATCCTCGGTTTTAAGCACTTTCAGCAGCTGATTTATGCATTTTTTTTTTTTTTGGCTTTTAATCATTGCCTATGTTTCAGTATAAGCTGGTGAAATAACTGCTACTCCAGGTTCCTATGTTTCAGGATGGCCCCTTTTTCTTGAAGCATCCTATTGAGTCACCACTGCATGCAGGGACCAGAGCTGTGTATCTTTAGACTATGTGCATCAATAACAACACACAGCCCTGTTGCATCAGATGGCAAGGAAGTCCCCTGTTCCTCCCTTTTCCTCCCCTTCCCTTCTTCAAATAAACAGATTAACTCCAGACTGCACTGTCCACTGGTAACTGTTTCCTGTAAAGACCCGAAGTTCAGAGAAGTAGCACTGAGACAGCAGGAGCCATCAGCACTGAAAATTGAAAAAATGCAAGTGCTGGGGTAAGAATTGTAACTAATAGTGTACTGGGGAATGTTTTTTTTTTTGTGCTCCATGCGTTAAGCTAAAAAATGCTTAGAGTTTGATAATACTTTAATTAGTGTGCTGCCCCTTCTTGTCCACTTCTGAATGCCTGATTGCTGTACTATTACACAAAAAAAAAGTTTAAAGCTACACATTTTCCCTTGTAATGGGGCTGTATTTGCACTGCAAGGGTTAAATGGTCTACTCTGTCTAGGGGATTTGGAAAACCAGATTTACTTTACCATTCTGCTCCTGCAGGCTTGACCAGTCCCTGAAACTTCTTTTCTCCAATACCCTGGAGGTCTAAGGTCCTCTGATGTCATTAAAATTGATCCAGGGACCATATCCTTGCATTGGACAAAGGATGCTAAGGGATAGTGCATGGCCAGACCATAGGGGTGTCTGGCCATGCACTATCCCTTAGAAGTTTTACTGTCCCCTGGACTAAATAAACTATTAATGATTGCACTGCAAACGCAACCCCACTGCAAGGAAGAATTTTTAAGTTTAAGTATTTTTATTGAATACGTATTTTAATGGCATTTCTTTATATCTTGACCTATTCTTACACTTTAAATGAAAAAAAAAAGAAAATAGTCCCCCTAGATATCTAAGGACATTAGTTATAAATGAATAAGATGCATTTTAATTGTTCCGTTGCATTTCAAGGTGCATTAAAAATAAATAAATATGATTGGCATGTCTGGATTGATACTGCCGAAGGAATCATGCTGTCCATTGTACTGAAAAGGACCTTATAAATCTATCAGCATCTGGACAATGGACACAGTCCCAAAGAATACACTGTATGTAAAATTATTTAGCCAGTACATGGTGTTACAATGTAAATGAACATAAGTAAATGACTGTAGTAAATGATCAGGGCAACATATTATCTTGCTTCATTGCTACATAATAGATTCTTGCTTCTGGATGCTTTCTCTCTTCAGTAAAGAAGTTTAGGCAAAACTTTTTTTTCCATTTTGAATAGAGTAAAGGAGATTTTTTTTCGCTATCCCATTGTGGAGATTTCCCTTCACTTCCTGTCCCATAGCCAAGCAAGAAGTGAGAGGAAATCCATACAAATTAAGGTAATTCAATGGGGAGTCCCCACTGGAAGATTTCCCCTCTATTTTTTGGGGGACAAACCAAAATTTGGGATTTTGTCTTACTTTCACTTTAAATGAAAATGGTAAACAGGACAAACCGTAAGAATCAATGAGGAGTGCAGCGCTACAAAGAGTCATGAACAACCTGAACCTATCTGCAGCAATTAAATAACTAATGTCCAATACAATAATAGCAGGTGAAATGGATAGTCCAAAGAAATTATATTCCAAAAAATTATAGGCGACTTCAATCAATGCAGGTATGATCCGGTATCCTGATGTAGAGATATAGGTAGATTGCCTACTCACCAGAAGCGCAACCTCAATGTGCATATCAAGATCACATGTAGCCAGGGATCCTGGGTGGGTGCTGCCCGGTGGTGCAATCCTCTGATGGTCACTCAATGGTGTGTAGGAAGGATACCGGTCTGGTCATAACGTACTTACTCCTCAGGTCTGCACCGATGGCTGAAATACTGGGGCTGAGGTGTGGAGGCTCAGTGCCAGGTATAGAGAATAAAGGTGCTAATAGTGTAGTAATGTTAATAAAAGGTTTAATAAATCGAGTTAAGCAGAGTATACACACTGACAATGACTGTAGGTAGTGGTAGAAAGCTGCTTGTAGATAATGATAAAAGCACCTGAAAAGCACTGACCAGTAGAGATCATAGGGGGGCCGCCGGAACTCCTTATCCGGCAGCGTGACGTCAAGGCGTGCAAGGGCTCCTCCTAGACGCGTTTCATGTAAACACACGTCTGCTGTAGGGGTGATGCGCATTGAGGTTGCACTTCTGGTGAGTAGGTAATCTACCTATATCTCTACATCAGGATACCGGATCATACCCGCATTGATTGAAGTCGCCTGTAATTTTTTGGAATATAATTTCTTTGGACTATCTATTTCACCTGCTATTATTGTATTGGACATTAGTTATTTAATTGCTGAAGATAGGTTCAGCTTGTTCATGACTCTTTGTAGCGCTGCACTCCTCATTGATTGATTCTATATAGAAAGGTTTGTGGTCCTTTTCAGTGCAACAGCCGCTTTTTAGAGTGCGCTCACTAACTCATACACATACAGGACAAATAGTAAGGGTGAATTTCCCAAACGGGGGTACAGACAGTGATAAAAACTGACAAGCATTCTAATCCCTCTCCACTATATCCAAATCTAAAAAAAAAAAAAACATTTTTGCATTTAGTTATAGTTTAATATACTAT